TTTTTACAAATATGTTTTCGAAAACATTTAATTCCTTTGTGAAAATTACTCAATTTTATTTCGCAGTTCTTTATTTTAAGGAGGTGGCTCTTTTTTTTGTTTTATTTCTCAGTTGTTTAAATTAAGATGTTAATTGGTTTCATGTTTATAACTTTTTTTTTCTACTTGATTACTTTATATTTTTTAGATCTGTTTCCTAGATCGATTCACCACTTCACTTAAGCACAAACTTCTAAACTTTTTATTTGCCTAATTTGTTGATATTTTTGCGTCAACTGTTTTTTACGACTTCAGAACAGTAGGTTTAATTTTGAATCTTCATCTTGATTGAATATTTGGAATTCAGGTAAAAAAGTTTGTGCCTTACTTGGGCGAGATGATATCACGTCGCTTAACGTCGTTGCAGAGATTGGCTTTGCTATATCGCCAGGTATCTATAATTTTGAAATACTTTGACAAGATTTCACATTTTGAACTCTGTTTTTTTTTTTATTTTTGTTATATCTCCCTATTATATTTTATTGATTTCATGCAGTTTACAGAGGATTTGTTAACCATGTGAGGTTTATTTTTTAGCGGCTTGCTGTGCAGCGTTTCCCATCTGCTATGTTTTCAAGTACTGTTAGTGTTCATTCACGCCCAGAACACCCATCATTACGCTTTTTGTCAAACCCGGTTTCTTCAGCAGCTTCGAGCCAACGTTATTTTCACACATCGAACTACTGGTGTTAGTTTGACAAATATGTCCATTTTTTTAAATGTCAATTTTTGATTTTTCACCCGATCAATGATAGATTTTCCCCGCGTCAACACTTCTAACAAAGCGTTGTAGGTGGAGAGGTTGTGGAAGTAGCAGGCCCTGAGTTTGCAGAATCTATTTCTGAAGGCGACATCAGATGGATGAAACGTAGGTTTCTGAATTTTACTACTTGCTGCCTTTCTAAATTGGAAGTTTTATTGCTTTGACTGCTCTTGTAATTCTTCCAGAAGACTTGAGTATTAGTAGTGGTGCAGGAAACTGGATTTAGGAACACTGATTCTGGTTTTTGCAAATATTTGAACCTCAGTACCATTGGAATTCCGACAGATTTTTCTTTCAGTTTTAATTAGTGTTACAAACAACTCCAGTTGAGCTGTAGATATATTTACGTTCTAAACGATTTTTTGCAGAAAAAGGGGATTACGTCACCGAGGACGAGCTTGTTGCGGAAATTGAGACAGATAAGGTAACAGCTGTAGGATATTTGAAGATTTGTGGGTTTGGTAACACCGAACGATGATTTGCGTAGCATCAAAAATACCTCGGTTTTGCTGAGATTCAAAGGAGACTTTTTGATTTTAGACTTCCTTGGAAGTTCCTGCCCAGTATTCAGGAACTATTGTCGAGCTTCTTGTTCCGGAAGGCGGGAAAGTAGTGGCAAAACAGAAGTTGTACAAAATAGAACTTGGGGAGGCCCCTCCTGCTGGCGCAGAGAAAAAGGGTTGGAAAATCTTCTAGTGATAGTTTGTGTAAAATTTTTGCTTACATGGCATTTTAACTAGAAGTAATTGCTAAGAGACGTGCAACAAAGATCTGGAAGCTTGAGGTCTTTTGTCTTTGCAGTTTCGAAACTATCGGTTTCTTTATTGTGTTCTCGGTGGATGTTAGTTAAACTGCCATTACATTCTAGCGCCAGAAGAAAAAGCTGCGGAAGCAGCAAAAAAAAAACCGTCAGCAACTCCACCTCCCACAGCGCCTACGCCGACTCCACCTCCAATTTCTACAGCGCCACCTCCACCTCCATCCAGACCTTTAGAGGGTAAATTCGATAATTCTTCAGGACCTCGGGTTATTTGATTTGGTGCTTATGTAGAATTCAGTGTTGGTTTCATTTTTAGGCGCTATCCCCAAAGCTGTACCTCACGTCGCAGAACCACCTAAAGCGCCGATGATTTCGCGTCCAGTTAGTGAAATACCGGTAACCTCCCCCCAAACACCAACAATGTCGGGGCCTGTTCCAGGAGAGAGGAGCGAAACGAGAGTAAAAATGAACAGAATGCGTCTTAGAATTGCACAAAGGATGAAGGATGCTCAGAACACTTATGCAATGCTTACAACATTTAATGAAGTTGATATGAGGTTAGAATTAATTTGGGTCGGTTTAAATCTGCTGCCTCTTACCAGTGATTTTTTATTTCTTGAAGTGAATTTTTTTTGAACGAGTAGATGAGTGGAAGTAAATAATTACAGTTATTTCATTTAGTAACGTGGTTGAAATGAGAGCTCGTTATCAAAAGGCTTTCGTGGCGAAGCATGGTATAAAATTAGGATTAATGTCTCCTTTCATTAAAGCAGCTGCTTTTGCCCTTCAACAGAGACCTGTGGTAAACGCAGGTATGTTTATTTTATTACATCTCATTTTTTCTGCTGAGATGTATTGTAAATATAAATTTCTAATTTTTTAGTTATTGACGAGGGCGAGATTGTTTATCGTCATTATATTGACATGTCTATCGCAGTGGCAACTCCTAAAGGTCTTGTAGTACCTGTCTTACGGAATGTTGATCAGATGGACTATGCGGCAATTGAAAAAACTCTTAGTGAGCTTGGCACTAAAGTAGGGTATTTCTCGGCTTACCTGTTGTTAGTCATTTTTACCTGACGTACTTTCTTACTAAAAATAATTGTACAGGCTCGAGAAGGAAAACTGGCAATTGAGGATATGGAAGGAGGCACATTTACCATTAGTAATGGAGGTGTTTTCGGCTCGATGTTTGGCACTCCCATAATTAATCCTCCACAGTCTGCTATACTTGGTATGCATGGTATTTTTGACCGACCGGTGGCTGTAAATGGCAAAGTGGAAATTAGGCCGATGATGACAGTAGCTTTAACTTATGATCATAGGTATGATCATTGTGCAAAGTAGTCTGTAATTGACAGAGAGTCTTGTGATTATCTTAAGATATTTGCTTTGCCGCTTTGAAACCTTGAGATTTTCAAGGGAATTTCAGAAATATTTTCCTTTTCATCACTTTTTTCAGGTTAATTGATGGAAGAGATGCTGTTTCCTTTTTGAAGCAGATCAAGTCTGCTGTTGAAGACCCTCGCGTAATGTTGATGAATTTGTAGTCTGTTATGGTTACCGTTATATAATTACACGTTCTTGGAGAAACTGGAATTTGTCATTTTCATTACTAGTTTCTGTACTTAGTTGATTGTTAATATGCTTTTAAATTTTTCCACCGCTAGCTGTTCCAGTAATTACTAGTTAAGAATACGTATTTGTTTTTTGGGAATTGTTCGTGAAACCACTGCAAATCACCAGATATTTCAGTTGATACTTGAGATCAATTCTACAAGGGAATAAACTAGCCGTTTTTATGGCAAGGAAAGTTGTTTTTATTTTGAAAACCTTTTGTTTATCAATTTGCCATAATTTACATTTTCGGCTGTTGTTTTGCGTCTAAAATTGTTCAAGTTAAATAGCTTTTTAATGTTTGAAGCAGAAAATAAATGGTCGTCTGTTCGATTTCATTTACTAGGCTATTTTTTTGTGTCATATTGTTAATTCTATCTTTCGCAGCCATGACGGTACAGACCCAGATTTTGTTAGATACAGGTATTTGTTTAGGGTGTTGTTGTACTTTTGTTGAGGCTTCCTTTCAGTGAATGGTATTGGTGGGATAATGATAGTAGTGCAGTAGTCAGCAATGTTACAGAAGTCTGTGCAGTAAATTTAGATGCTTTCGGTTGTTAATGTCGGTTTTTTTTTTATTTTTTTTTTCTCTTTCAGTATCTATAAGTGCAGATGATCTTATTTATTAGTGCTTAATTTGGAACGGTTCAGTGAAATATAAATACCTATTTGTGCAGTGGAAGTGTCCGGGTTTGGGTGGTAAGTAAGTTAGCAAGAAGACTCACAACTGAAATCAAGAGTTTTTGATGTATATATCCATTGCAAAAATTCCACTTTACGAATTCACAACGGGGCGGTAGGTTCACTGGACGGTATGCCAACTTATCTAACCTTAAAAGATAATTTTGTTAAAAGAGAGTGCTGTCGGTACTTGGTTTTGGGGATATTGTTACTGGTTTCATTTAGATGCAGCTTGTCATTTGTTCTGTGTTCCACATGTACACGATGCGATAGAAAATCTGTGTTTGTCTTGATTCTTCGCTCCATGTCCAAGTTCCTTTTTTTTGGCTTGAGAGATAACCATCACTGTAAGCGTTTTACAAACCATCCTCTACTCATTTTAATCCGCTATCCTCTGTTATGGCAATTTTTAGTTTACTCTTCTGTCCTGACTTGACTTGCTCCGTCTATGTTACAGTTATATGTGCTCGGTTCTTACCTCTGTTCAAGTCAACTCAGATTACTTCTTTTGCTTTTTAACGTCATGGCCCGTGTTCTGCGACCAAACTCCCAATCACCTTCATTACTAGCAGTACATTTAGACTTTTTTCCTCTGTAGTTTTCGGCTGTTTCTGTGCCCAGCAGCATTGCTTGACAGTATTAATTTGAAAGAATTTTGGTTCAAAAGGAGCCTTTTATAATTTTGCAACCAAAACATGTTTTGAATGGCCGAAGTTGCAAAGGAATCGCTCTTATAACTTAAGCCAAAATTTATAATGCCAGTCTAAAACTGTATCGGTAGGTAGAATACCCGCTTCTTAAGATGCTTAATGATACTGATTAGCAGAGAAGAGCAGTTGGCGTCTTTTGCGCAGTTCCAGTCGCTTAAGCTTTCAGACTGAGAAGTATGAAGCTTTATTTTTAAGAGCAACTTTATGTTCGGCAGTTTTTGAAGTGGATTCCGTTATTATTGATTCTGGCGTACACATTAATTTATAGCACTTGTTCAAATTTAAGATTTTCGTATTCGCTGACAGCATTTTTCGAGTTCGTTAGTGCTCTGATGTTTTTATAAAAGTGGCTCCCTTGTTATCGATAAATTTTCTTCTATGGGTGGAAAACTGATACCGCAAATACAATTGTTACTGGTGAGAAATTAATGCTACGGTTGTACCAAACTTTTTCTGCCAGTGAGATATGCGCAGGCAATGCAGAAAATTCAAAAGTAGAGATACAACTTTCAAAAAACAATCTATGTGGCAAATTAATGGGTTGGGTAATTGATGAATATCTAGAAACCTTGTTTAAGGAGAATCCAAATGGATTCGCCTGGAAGTTAACAATGAAGATGGATATTTTCCATAGATCCTTCTTGAGGCATTTATACAGGGTTGCGGAACTGAGGGTTATAGTTTTCGCATTCGTCGGGTTAAAAGAATAATTGAAGCGTCAAAATCCTGCAGAACTGAAAAATTCGATTGCTAACTTTCAACGAGAAAAAACGTTCGAGTAGATTTGTAGTGTGTGTGACGAGGAATGGACTTTATGTGATAGTCAAAAACGTCTTAGTTTGAGAATCGACCTAGTCAAGAATTCACATCAAGCTCAAGTGGATCTTTGTTGGATGGCGATTATAGTCAATTAATCCACGGTAATCTGTGACAGGTAAAGGATGCTGTTCGGACGGTTTGGTTTCATACTGTTGCTTAAAAAAAAATTAGGTCACATACTTCAAGAATTTTGATTCGTAAGCTTGATGACATCGGGTACAGACTTTCAAGCCATTCCTCCTGTTGACTCTGACTGAAGATTACATCTTTTTTAAGTGTGCTGCAAAATTTTTTTATTAAAGAAATCTTAAGCATTGGATAAACACCAAAAAATGTTTTTAAAAATTTTACATATTTTAAAATTTATGGTCTTTTAGTTTCTGATGATTTTATAATTGATTTTGTTTGGCTAAAATGTGACGGTTCCAAATGTGATTACTTTGTTTGATAAACTTTGATATCTGCGAGGCTGAAATTTTAGTTGCACTGTTGGCATTTTGTATCTTTCAACCTAATATTTCCACTTTTTTGGCCTTTCTGAATCCAACTCAGCAATTTTTGTAACTTTTTAAGTTATATGAATCTGGTTGCACAGCTGAGAAACTGGTCGTCTTGAAATAATTCATCTTCGTTTGCAGAACTGACTTGAGTTTTTTAACATCTAGGCTGTTAGGGAGAGGCTTTTAGAATGTTTGATTAGTTCTCTATTTTTTTTCTTTTTTCTTTGACAGAGGATTGAATTTATGAGGAGGAAAGTTTAAAAAGAAGAAGGGAGGAGGAATTTGTTAAATATTGATGTCTCTTTTGACTGCTGTGAACGACCGACGAACGGACATTTGCCAAACAGTGAAGCTTCAGCGACCCAAAGTTTAACGTTATAATGAAATCGTTTGAAGAATTTGGTTTGTCGTATATCAAGATAAATTTCAGGTCCATCAGCTTGATGGTATCAAATCATTCTTTAACACCGGACCCGTACACTGCCTGCGCACTCGTATCTTACGCAAGATAAACCGGAAGGAGAAGAAAACCTTATAACTGTACTCAACGTACGGTGATGAGTGTTGTAAGCGGAGTGTTTGGCGTAACCTCTTTCCGGAACTAACATTTACTAACAAAAAAGGAAGATGTGCGGGTCAAAAACAGTTCACATCAAAACTTTTGTTTTTTTGGATTTTGAAACAACCGGGCTTTTTCCAGAAGAACCACTAAATCCTCTTTTCTTTCATCAGAAACCAGGTGATACTGAAAGAAATGCAAGTCGTTTGCTAGATAACTACATTTCAACAAGTAGGTTAACCTTACTTAGTAATCTTTTATTAGTACTATTTTGTTAAACGGTTTCAGGCAAAGTTTTTTATTGCAAAGCTGTTATAGCTAACCCTCGAAAAGCTCCACGAATAACAGAACTGAGCCTGATATCCATTTCGAGAGCCCGTGTAGAAGGAGCTATAGCAGAAATTGCCTCTCAGTATGGTGAAGAAGAAAGTGCTTCATTTGATGCTCCACCAACTTGTCCTGTTGTGAAACTTCCTTGTAATGTTCATACTAGACAGGTGAACCCTTTGCATATTTAACATCAAGTCACATTCTTCAATTGGAGAAAATTTTTCTCTTCATTTTGTAAAACGACGCTATAGGACAGAAATGGAAAGACGGGTGCCATTCAGTTAACTTGGGGGAAAAGGGAAAATATCTTTTTCCAAGTTCTCTTTTTTAAATAAAGTGAGTAATGCATAGCCGTTTGGGAAATTACTGGATGGAGGTCATGCAACGAGAAATAATCGTACAGCTTTGCAGAATTACCTGTTTTGGAACAAAGAGCACCCTTACTGCGTACTGCTCTGAAGCTGTTTGGCAAAGAGAAATTTTACTATCTATAATATCGTACAAAAAGTGCGTCTTTGACACGGCAGACAGGACTTGAGTTGAAATTTAAGAGGAAGGTTGTTGGACGAGGCGTGTAAATTGTTGGAAAAGAGAGGAAATGTGTTTTTGTCATGGAACTGGAGAGGGGTGTAAAACAAAAGAACCTTTCTCTCAAAACTCATTTTTAAACTTTTTCCAACGTCCAAAAATTAAAAATCCTTCCCCTGATTGATGAGATTTTGTCTTAGTCTTTCTAAAGAAATATTTTGATATTTTTCCGGAAAGTTATTTTTTTGGAGTTTTGCTGCCGACAAACTGTGCACATCTTAATGTGTTTCCTCCATTCCTTTGTTACTGTTTCATCCGGTCGCTTCTTTTACAGATAAACCCGGAATTAGACGAAGCCGCATGGGTTGAGTATGGGATGAGAAAGATAGGAAAGAATGGTTACTACTTTTTTCTTAGTAGCTTACCAGATTTCGATTCCATTTATATTGTATTTTATTCTTTCTAAGACAAATTTCAGCACTTATTTACTCGCGTAACGATTTAGAAGAGAAGAATAAGTTTGCTGTTGAGTGGGAAGGTGTTAAGCTGTTTCTTGACCAGTTACCAAAACCAGTTTGTGTACTGGCTCATAATGGAATAAAGTAAGTTGTTATGCGGTTTTCAAGTGGTAGAAACTTTTGTAGTGTAGTTTTTGTTGCAGCGGACGTTTCGTTTCCTTTCTTTGTTAGGTGGAAATGTTTCTTGTTTAGATACGACTTCCGTGTTCTTCATGCAGAATTGTTAAGAGCAGGCCTCCTGCAGTCAAACCCATTTTCTTCTGACGTTTGATTTGATTATACTTATACTTCGTATTTACATTCTTTTAGTTATTTGTCTTGAAATTGGTGATAACAGTTTTAGTTTCCCTTAATTTTCATTGCGTAGTTTAAGCGAAAATTGTTTTAGATATATTTTGTCGATTCATATCTTATGTTCATGGATTTAGAAAAGGAAATTCACGATGACCTAAGAACATTAACCCAAATAGTTGACTGGAGACTTGGTTTGTATCCAAACTTTGTTTGCTCTTTGAATCACACTTTTAATGGTTACAATTTTTGTGGTCTTCTTTACGTCATTTTTATAAACTGTAGTTTCGACTTCGTCAAAGGATCCTGCCAGTATTAATGGCCATTATCCTGCTCCAGAGGTAAATCGTGAGGATAGTGGCTTTAACGGAAGAAATCAAATTTTTCGTTCTTTATCTACCACCGGAGTTGACGAAACCGTAAAAATTACAAAAGCGACTTGGCTAGAGCAGTATTCAACGCCAAAAAAATCGATGCCACAATGCGGAACATCTAATGAACAGGCAAAGTAAACTAATTCGTTTCATTTATTTTTCTAGTTGTAGACTTATTCTTCACTGTTTACAATTTGATGGATCGCATATTTGGATCATTATTCCTTTTTATACACGAGCAAATGTTAGGCTTTCTTTTCGTCCTTATGCTTCTAAGACGAATAACCGTTCCTTTTTCTGCTTAGTGAAATGGACTTACCGTAGTATGAGGGGAGAAGAGTGAGGGACGTTGTAAAGTATCATTCCAGTTGCCTTTCTAACGAAATTGTTGGGTCTTTTCGTTGAAGAACTATGCGCAACAAGCAATCAAAAATGAAAGGATTTTCACCTAATCAAAATTCTTTAGAGACTTCTGCTTTTGGACTTTCCTGTGTGTTACAGCATTTCTCCACCTCTCCATCGCCATCCGCCGCCACCCCTAAAGTTTGTTAAAAAAATTTTTTATTCTATGTAACATATAATGATTTATGAAAAGAGGTGATCCTGTTGTGGCTGGATCATCGTTGCTACTGACGATATTGTATTTTTGTGTCATCAGTTGGATCCTTATTTAACTGTGAGAAAAAAATTTAAGAGGCAACCTAAAAAGTATAAAAAGCTTGAAGGGTTTTTTACTTTGAAGTAAACAAAAGTTTTGTAAAGTTATTTAAAAGTTAGCACGTAGGACGCCTGAAAGCATCACACACGAATCATTCCGTCAATTTGCTGATTTTCCATCCGACCTCGTGGTTTTCCAGACATAGTATTTGGTTTTCAGTTGTGGAATCAAAAGAAAATATTTTAAAAGTGTTCTGGTGGCAAAGGTAGACCTTGGTGACTTGCGAAAAACTGGTTTTTGGTCGATGTAGCTGTGTTTTGAAGACTGTAGTTTTGTCATTTCATAGTGGGTTTATAAGGTTCCTGTTTTATTGGAAGTTAGCCGAAATCGATTTAAGCACAAGGACTTATATTTTGTCGAGACAAATAAAAGAGTAGGAGTAAGGACTCGGTAAGTTGTATCTGTAAATGAAAATTTTGAAGTTTTCAAGAAAAGATATATTTTTTGAAGGAGTGGTTTTTTTTGTAACATGTCAAGGTTCCAAACAGTTGGTATTCTGATGTTGCCACGAGTTAAGATACGATTACTGGGGCTGGGTAAAATCAGTTGTAGGAATCAACGTGGAGTTTTTACGGAAATATTATTTTAATACCATTTCGAAAGAAACTTGGTGAAGAAGTGAAATAATAAAAATACGATAATGGCTTTTTTGAAATGTGCTTCTAGGTTACTTAGCAACACAAAATTTTTTATTAGACATCTGTCAGTGAAGTAGAGAGTTTTAAGCATGTTACGTTCATAGTAATATTCCAGCTGAACTTCGAACAGTATCACTTGCACAAGTGCGCCTCTGCAAGCGGTACTGTTTGAAGTTCAAATTGTGATGACTCAGAATATTAGTTTAAGGTTTCAATATGTTATACAGAATCTACTTTTCAAAGCATTTTTTTAACTTCAGAATTTCTACTTTTAGATAAAATGTTTTGAACCTTTAGTTCTGCTTTATTATTTAATTTTTAAAAACATACGTTTTGCTAGTTTAGTCAGTCTGCAGGAGATCGGCTTTGTATGAGATATGAATATTAAAAGTTCTATGTAGGAAAACAATTACAATATTCTACAGACGATCAATTTTTCCATGAACTTTTTGTCTCACTTCGGCATACTCCACCTTTGATGCCAGTACGCTTTCTGAGGTTTTTTTTGAAATCATTGGACAACCACAAAAAAATTTTTGAGATTGGTTGAAAAATGCAAATTGATATGGAGTGACCCATGTACAATAAATTTGCAGACTGCTGGAACAACGGTTGATAAGTGCTAGGAGCAGAAAAGTAGCACTGCAAGAGCGGACTGTTTTCTTCATAGGCATAAGTTTTTGTTAAGGATGTTGTGATATATTTTTGCTATCCGGATGAAGGGGCATAGGTGCAGAAGTATGTCAAAATACGGTTCTTTTTTTCTAGGAAAGTTTAGACAGTGCATTTGTAAATAAAAGTCTTCTTTTTGGAACCCAAAAAGTAACAAACGAGTAAAGCGCAGCCGATCGCTCGGAGAGCTAATCTTTTGATCACTCAATCTTTAGATGATGTTTTTTTATCGCATATGCGAGAAACAGTGTGAAGGCGGTTTAGTAGAGGCGGTTTCCGCCTTCTGCTTTTCATAATTTCCCTCCATTGTTTCCACTTCATTAATGGTGGAAACATCTTTTTGAAAGAATTCATCCTAACTATTGAGAAGCTGAAGGGTTCAGGTTGCGCAGTTCATTAAAATTGTGGTAAATATTAATGTTTGGATTGTTCATTTTGAGAATCCTCGCAAAGATGGATGATTATAAAGGGATTATGTGTATAGTGGCGGCCACAGTTTAACATCGATGACAAAAATAGATGACACTGAGGGAATAGTTCGCTGTAACTTTTCTGGTGTTCTGCAGAAAAAGATACGATTTGGCAGCATTTCGCTAAGCATCCTGAGCTATGAAATTAACGGTTTTCTGTTAAAATTCTTTTTTCCATTTTAGAATTATTAGCCAAAATAGGCTACTTATGAAAAAATTGTTAGTGCATAAAAGTATTAACACTTTAACTGTATTTAGTTCTGCCTTTGAACAACGCTTAAGAAGTAAGGTTTTGTTTTTCTTTCTCATTACTGAGCTTCTGCCACTCTCCTCATATTTTTTTACTGCGTTTTAGGTTTGGGTTTATGAAATTCAGTTTATGAAAGCAACCAATAGTTGCTACTTTGAAAAATGAAAGTCTAAGTTTCTCTGCTATTACGAAGTATTTTGATTGATTTAATTCTGCGTGTACTTGTACTTGTCTACTGGCTGTTAAAAGCCGATAAGTCGGCTAATTTTTTGTGAACGTAAGGTGGGAGGTCAATTTGATGACAGCCTATTGCTGAAACTATGGCAGACGCCTGCATGAGTTTGTTCAGGATGAGCTGGGTACGAGAAAGAAACCATTCGCTTTAGCTAAGAACCAAAAAGTTCAATTGCAGTTCGCCAAACACCGACTAGTAACGGCTGGTCGTCACCAATTAGAGTTATCTTAATTTGAACGGTAATAGTTGTGGGACTTTTATCATGGGGAGGATAGGAGGCACTGAATGGAAGTAATATTTGACGAAGAAAAGATTTGTAATAAGCAGCTTAGAATTAAGAAGAGAGCTTTTTGAACAAATTCAGAGTCCCTTTGTCTTCTGTTTTTGTATATGTTGTTTGAGAAATTTGCAAACAAAACGATGTTATTGCGTTGACAGTTAAAAGGTGTGAAGTGAAGAAAATCTGTTTGCAGTGAGCAAAAGTTAAATTGTTCAGAGTGCGGCTAAAAAATGTTTTTTTAAACGTTTCTGAATAAATAATTTTGTGGCAAATACACTTTCCAAAACTAATCTTTTTATGTGACAGTAATTGGACTATAATGGTATTCATGGGGTACTGAAGGAATTCAAATGATTCACTGCTTGGCGTTGGTTGGGATATACGTTAAACGCAAATTTGTGTTCTTTTAGGACACCGAAACGGAAGCTCACTTTTAATATTAGTGATGATCATCCGCTTCATTACGCCAGGTTGTCTCAGTGGTCACCTGCAAAGCGAATAAGGATACGGCGAAATTTTTTTCAGTAGAATTTTTATGCTCCTCTCTTTCACTTTAATTTGAAAGGCAAAGAATGCTTTAAATGAGTTCTATTGTCTTGTAATCTTTTCTTCTACCAATGAAAAGAGCGATTTCCTTTTTGCAACTATTATTTTTTGTTGAACGTGTCTTATTTCAGGCGCACCGCTGATGGCGATTGGCAGTTTGACAATCATTACGCCCTCCAGTATTTTACTGAGAGGAAGGTTTTTCGTTTATCAGAAATGTATTTCCAGGTTAGAAACTTAGCTTTACATCTTCTTTCGTCGCCACGGCTACTCATTTGTACTCATCTAGTGAACGTATTCATGTATCGTAGCTGCCATAAAAAATTTCTTATCTTGGGAAGCAAAAAATTTTTTAATTTTTTACAATGATGGCTCCAGCCGACTGATTGGTTGGCTGCTGTCTTGGCGGAAGGTTGGGGAAAGGGACAAAAACAGCGTGAAGGGAATCGCAACAGAGAATAGGGAAATAATAACAGCAGCGGAGCTGAGTATAGTGAAGACGTACCACCGTTAGTTGGTACCTTTTTCATATACCTTAAACTCTTTTTACCATAAATCAGAAGTGACGGGTTAGCAAAGTTCCAATTTTTGCGCAACAGATTGGGTTTTGAAGCAGTGAAAACTGCAGTACAGTAATGTGTCTTAAAGTGTTCTGTACCATTTTGAATTCAAAGAATTGGGCATCGTATGTTGGTTTGAACTTCAAACAAATGATGATAATCTGCCGCCCGCTTTGTAGATTGAGATTACACAGTATGACATCACCTTGACGTGTATTTCTAAAAATGAATCTTTCTATGTCTGTAAATTATAGGACGCTTAAGGAGAAGCTTTTTTTTTACAGACGAAGACTTTGTTTCTCAGATGTTTTCTCTTTGTGCTAGTACTGTTGCTGAGAGTTTTTCTAGATATTGTTCCGAGAAGTTTTTTCTCCTCTGTGACACATGTTTTTTTTTTTTTAAGTGTAAGTCGAGTTTCAAAGATGTCTTTTTCCTGTTTTCATATCATGTTGAACGACGGAGACCCACATATGACGACGTCGTACGTGAAGTGGTTTGTGCGTGGGGTAGCGGACTTAGCACTCGCAGTTTGATTGAATATATGAGATTCTTTCGAGATTTTTTCACGGAAGACTATAAAAGATATTCTTCAACAATTAGGGATTGCGGTAGAGTAAAATTAGCAAAACGTCCTTAATCGGGATAAAGTACAACAAGGATAAGATCGTAGAGCAGCAGTGATGTTTTTCTGAGTATTGAGCGAAGGACCAAAGAGTGTTTCATCGTTCCACCTCAACGACAAGATATTGCGACCATTTCCCTTTTTGGACAATATATTTTTTTTGGAAGGACTATAGTGCGTGACCAGTAGGTGGCATATAGTACCATTAATGACATGCTAGGGAGTAATTATCATTAGACTGTGAATCATAGTCTGCATTTTACGGATGTTAAATCTGGTGCCTCTTCAAACACTGTTGAATTTTAAAGAAAGTATACTGCTTGTTACTATCTTTGTAGTCGTATAACGGATTTCCACTTACCAACCTCTGGCTATTTGTGAAACTTAGAGTATTCTGCGCAGATCCTGGTCTGTGATAGAACAGTTAAGATTTTGAAAAGATATTTACTACCGAAGCTACGGAAGGGTACTACCAAAGCTTTTTTAAAGCTAGAGAATTGAGATGGAAAAGCTGCCTTTTGGAAGCAGAACTGAATGCGCTGTAATTATTGCTGGGGCTAAACAGAGCCGGGCCGTACTAAGACTACCACTAATGCTCCATTTCAGATTTTGATATTTGAACATCTTATTGGTTGCGTAATGTCACTGCTCCCAAGCTTTTCTTACTTCAGCGTCATTCTTCGCAGTGACACCTCTGTCTTCATACTCTCACGCTTAAACCTACAAATAATAATATTTCAGTACTATTTAAGAACTTGTCGACTGGGAAGTCTGGGTTTTTACCGTCATGCAGGGGCCGCTAAGTCTGTAGTAGAGGTTAACAAGATTCAAATACCTTGCCTATTGTAACGGCCCCGACGGCAGCGACAACGTTCCCATACTAGATTTTTTGTAAAAGAGGCTTCTTCGGAAGTCCTTTCTTTGAGTATGTATTTGTGCCGTCATTGTAAAAAAGCTGTAAAATTTTACGGTCTGATACAAGTCTAGCGTTTGTCCCCAAAAAGATACTTTAAATGAGTGGCAGTTTGGTGTTTTTATTTGCAAAGTTTATACGAAAAAAGTGGTGTTATATCTAGCACTTATAGCTAACAGGGTGTCGGCACAATGCTCATTTCGCACAGGATGATTGCTATGCGCTGCTACAGGTATGCCTAGCTTACGGTCAGGATTTTGTTAAATACGTAGACAAATTTTGCGCCAGGTTTCCGTTCTGAGGATATTGTTTTATAAATTGGTGTTGTTAGAGGAACATGAAGACGAAGGAGTAAAGCACTGTTAATTTGGCGTAAATGCACAAATGAATAGTTATTTCCGGGTTTTGAAAGTTATAGTAAATTTCCTTCTTGTGATTGTCTGTCTTGTTGTTGTGTTAAAGATATATTGCTGACTGTCACTGTATCAAGGAACATTTTAATTTAACGTGTATTTGTAACTTTACTAGCACTCTCTTACGCATTCTGTTATTGTATTACGGACATATTACCATCGTTCACTATTTCATACTGACAGACACTGCTTGAAATTTTTTAAAGACGGGTTTTGTAGACTCGAAATGCATTCGATTGCTTAGGTACGGTTTGTATATTAAATTCTGTTCTTGCTTGAACAGCGATATTTTTAAATTTATTTTCTGTTTGATACTGTATTCCTTTGTTTATTATTTCATTATTTTTTGTATATTTATTCTTCTTTATATTACGTGAAAAAAAGACCCGCGTGCTTTGCTTGAGCTGCTGCAGTTTTCAAACTTTTTGCTTTTTCATTTTCCTCAGGTATGATTGATATTTTTGCTTTATTTTTAGAAGTTGCGACTTCACTAGCCTTCTGGCTAACCTAAAGTGTCATATACTTAAATATTGTCTTATAATAAATTTTTTTGAGACTGTATTTATCAATATATCACTATGTCGTAGTTGTTGTTAGCTTTAGAGGCTTTGATAAATGTTAAAGATCTATACTTGCGATTACTGAAGAAGGGTGTAGTAGGAGTGGTTTCATAAGACGGTTGACGATAAGTTGTTTTTACCATAATATGACTTTGGAAAGCTTTTGAAATTTTGCATTTTTGGCTATACATTCTTGGAACTTTAAAAGACGCAGTGGAGAAGGCGTTATATAATCAGTTCCTTTGTGTGCTTTGGCTGATTTAAGGCATTTTTATGATCGGAAGGATTGGGAGTTGGTCTCAGTTATTTCCTTTGCTGACGACTTATTGGCAATTTCGAGAAATTCTGACATTATGCTGTTTGGTAGCTGTGAAATGTTGGCACAACAACTTCAAAGGGAGCGGTTATCAGTGTGTGGGTGGTAAGAAGTTTAAGTGACTGTGGTTCCATTTGTTCATGAGTTACTTTAAATTTGCTTGTACGGATTTAGTCGGCTCTGGATCTTGTGTGTCATTTATTTCTGGTACTTCAAAAGCAGTAGGGATTCAACAGGTATTTTTGGTGACGGCGGGTGCACCAGGATAGACTAAACGGCAGCCTCGTTACTTTCTGTTAGTAGTGCTTACCAACATTTCATAAATGTTTTCAACTTTGTATATAAGTTTGCTGCTCGACAATATACTAGTTTGAAATCGCTATTCCAGCTGTAAGAATTTAGTTGCCTTGAAGGTTTGGACGCGAACGTAGTTCAAGTTTTTATATAGGAACCGATGATTAGTTTTAAAAAAAGCGCTTAGTTTTTTTTGAACTACTTGTTTTTTCTCTTTTCCAGCCACATTTTAGAGTTCCAAAATCAAGTCATTTTTAGCAGTTTTTGAAAAGCTAAAAACGCTTTATCAAACATCTTTGCTTATTTTTTTTCGTACTGTATTTGCTTATTCTCGTTCGGCTTTTTTCACTTTCAAAAAACAAACATTTTATTAGAAAAGAGATAAAAAATAAAAACAGAAAAGAAATATTGCACATTAAGAAGTTATGCAGTTTTGAATGGCGGGTTACTGTAATATATACCCAAGGTAGCAAAACGAGGATGAAGAATAGTGGCGGATGAGGGAAGAGGGAAAAAACAAGGGAAGAAGAGAGGAGAGAACGAGCTAATTTTGTTTTTTGAGTGTTGTTTAGAAGGTCTAAAACATTGTTTTAGTGATTTAATCTTTTTTAGTTTATTATACGAGTATTGATACTACACTGGAACCTTTCCTGTTTTTACCTAAGTCTGTTTTTTTCTTTCCTTAATTTTTTTTCTTTCCTTAATCGCACAGTATCAACTGATGCTAAGGTGTCATCAACTT